TTATCCTAAAGTTCTTTGATTTTAAAATAGTATACATTTTTTGCAAATAATTGTATGCATACATTTTTTACAAATAATTATATGCATACAGCTTCATATATAGCATTTGTGAATAAAAGATAGCTTTTATTTTTAATAATTCAAATATAATGTGTTTCAGTAAAAGCAAAAAAAAATAACAAATCAAACCTCATACATCTGCATATGCGTTTGCATTGTATGTATTATTATGAACAAAGAGAAATATGTGGAAAAATAAAAATCAAACTGTTAACACTGGCTACTTCATGGAATTGGGCAGCTTGGTAGAGGCTGGGGGTGAAACAATTAGCTTTGCCTTTGCATCTTCACAGTATGTGTTTCACCTACTATAACAAACATATTAGTGATAAATCTGGAGGCAAAAAAATTTTAAATGAGCATTTTAAGAAGCAAAAATGGAGTCCATGTTGATTTTGCCTATAATTATCTCCAAGTCCTGAAAAGACTTTATATTCCAATACTATTTACTAATATTTCATTACTGATTCTATTTTTTCAAGAGAAAAAGCCTCAGAAGATGAAAGATTAGTGTAAACATTTTTTTAAAATTATATGTAGTGCTTTTGAATGTGTCTTTTCAAATTTAAAGACACTGAATACATAATTTTTAATTATGATTCTTTTTTTTTTTTTTTTAGAGACAGAGTCTCACTTTGTTGCCCTCAGTAGGGTGCTGTGGCATCACAGCTCACAGCAACCTCCAGCTCTTGGGCTTGTGATTCTCTTGCCTCAGCCTCCTTAGTAGCTGGGACCACAGGCACCCACCACAATGCCTGGCAATTTTTTTGTTGTTGCAGTTTGTCTGGGGCCGAGTTTGAACCCACCACCTTCAGTATGTGGGGCTGGCGCCCTACTCACTGAGCACAAGAGCCTCCCTTAATTATGATTCTTAATTACAATGGAGCAACTCTTAATTGTTTGTCTTTTGAGCTTTTGGGGGGGTAAACCAGAATTCCAAAAATAGCTATCCACTTTTGGGGAAAGGTAACTTTATTCTTTTTTTGAGACAGAGTCTCAAGCTGTTGTCCTGGGTAGAGTGCCGTGGCATTAGAGCTCACACCAACCTCCAACTCCTGGGCTTAAGCGATTCTCTTGCCTCAGCCTCCCAAATAGCTGGGACTACAGGTGCCTGCCACAATACCTGGCTAATTTTTTTTGGTTGTAGTTGTCATTGTTGTTTGGCAGGCCCAGGGCTGGATTTGAACCCTCCAGCTCTGGTGTATGTGGCTGGTGCCTTAGTTGCTTGAGTTACAAGAGCTAAGCCAGGAGAAAGGTAACTTAAAGAAGCAATTGGGGGCTTGGCACCAGTAGCTCAAACAGCTAGGGCGCCAGCCACATACACTGGAGCTGGCTGGTTTGAATCCAGCCCGGGCCTGCCAAACAACGACAACTACAATCAAAAAATAGCCGGGGGTTGTGGCAGGTGTCTGTAGTTCCAGCTACTTGGGAGGCTGAGGCAAGAGAATCACTTAAGCCCAAGAGTTTGAGGTTGCTGTGAGCTGTGATGCTATAACACTCTACCCAGGGCAACAGCTTGAGACTCTGTCTCAAAAAAAAAAAAAAAAAAAGAAGAAGAAGAAGAAGAAGCAACTGGGGTTTACCTAATTTAAAAGGTTGGAAGTGGGCAATTAAAGGTGGTAATATCGCAGATGGATTTCACAACTACTTACTAATACAAACTCTCCTGTTGGTGTAGTAGGCATGTATAACAGCTGGCAAACAGCACTGTCTGTCATTGAATTTACGACGCCAAATTAGGGCTATCTTTTATGTCAGAGGATATGCATTTTTAACCATATGTCACCATTATTAGAAATAAAATAACAATAGGGATCCAGAGCCTGGAGGCAAAGTCAGGGTGGGAAACAGTACCTGCCCCTTTCTATGTGAAGCTCACCCAGCTCACAGCACTTAAAAGAACCAGGGTTTTAGTTAGCACATAGGATTCCTTACCTACATGATCATTAGCCAGGATTCAAAACTCTTTTGGTGAAAATAAACTTTCTGACCATAGTTGTTTTTTTTTTCTTTTTTCTGGAACAATAATAGCAATTATCCATTCTACAATAGTCCTAATTTCAGGTATTCTATTTCATTGTTCTCATAAATCAAAGACCTTCACTGTAGCCCTCCTGAGATTCTTAGCAAATAAAGAAAAATTTAACTGAAGCAGCTCCTTAATAATAAGAAAGATAATAAGTTTTGGCCTCTTTATTACCACACTCTGTTTTGTTTTTATCAGACCTTTATTGGTATTTGTTATTTTCTTACTGATGGTCTGTTTTCTTCCACTAGAATGTAAGCTCTCTGAGAACAGGGACTTGATCTGTCTTATTCATCTCAGAGTGTCTTTAACAATCCTTGGTAGACAGTAAGTACTCCATACAGAGTGACTGAACAGATTCAACGTTAACAAGTGCAAGGACAGAGGTAGAAGATGGCCACTTTGAGAGTACAGAGGAGCCTGATTGATTTTTACATGGGGACAAGCACACCTTTCAGGTCACTGTGGGGATTTTATTTATTCAGTCAACAAACATTTATTGAGCATCCCCTGGCATAATGTAGCACTGAACAAACTGACATAGATCCTGTATGGAGGCAGGGAAACTTGCTTTTTCCCCTGAAAGTTTGCTGAAAGATCAACCAACAATTAAGGCAGGTTAGTAAGAGAAAGGATTTATTTACTATGTACATGGGGAGAATCACAGGGTGATAACCCAATTTTCTAATGGAGCTCAGATACAGCCCTTTTAGAGTGAAGGGGGGAATTGAAAAGCATAGGATAATAAACAACTGGTAGGGAGGACCAATGGATGGAGAAGAAATAGATTGATTGTGGATTACCCTGGGAGATAGTTATTTATGACTCAAATGATTTGGGCCAGGTCCATCTACATTCTGGACCCTCATTCCTGCAATATTTTGGGATAACAGGAAGGAGGAAAGGAGTCAATTGCCCCTTTGACCCTCTGATCAGGCCAGTCCAGTTTATGCAGATACAGGGAAGGCCTCATCCAATGTTTTCTGACTTCGAATGGCCTTCAATTTAAAACATTCTTTATACTGTGGATATAATCACCACCATTGAATTGTATACTTTAAAAGGATACAATTATACCCTTATACTGGGGGGTGTCATATTTAGGGGTGAAATTTCCTTATTTCCTTCTATCCCGACTTCATTAAGCTTATAATCTAGTGGGATGATAGATGTTTTTTAAAAGTCACACTATTCATTATCTAATTACAAATGGTGGCAAGTGTGATGAAGGAAAAACACAGGGTCATACAAGCAATTATACACCTTTGGATGCCTGCAACTCTGGGTTCATAATCCTGGTCTAACAATTACTAGCTGTTTTCTCTTGGGCTACTTGTTATATTTAACATCTCTGTACCTTGGTTTCTTCACCAATAAAATAAAGATAATAATCCTAGATGCTCCTCCTAGGATTGTTCTCAAGGTTAAACAAGTTAGTACTTACAGAGCACTGAGAATAGAACCAGGTATCCCAAAAAGGAGTACTATTACTACTTTGGGGAGTAAAGAAGTGCTATGGACTGAATGTTTGTGTCTGCCCCAAACTCATATGTTGAAATCCTAACCTCCAATGTGATAGTATTAGGAGGTAAGGCTCTGGAGAGGTAATTAGGTTATAAGGGTGGAGCCCTCATAAGTGAGATTAGTGCCCTTATAAAAAGACATGCAACATATGTAACTCTCTTGAGTAACACAGAGAAACCCTATCTCTACAAAATATGAACAAAAAAAATGAACTGGGTGTGATAGCATGCTCCTGTAGTCCTAGCAACTCAGGAAGCTAAGGCAGGAAGATCACTTGAACTCAGGAGTTTCAGGCTGGAGTAAGGCCATGATCACACAATTGTACCCTAGCCTGGGCAACAAAGGGAGACCCTGTCTAAAAAAGAAAAAAGATAAGACATTATCTTTATTCTCTCTCTCTCTTTCCCTGCTGTGTGAAGAAACGACTCAAGAAGAAGGTTGTTTGCAAACCAGGAACAATGCCCTCACCAGACACCAGATCTGCCTTCACCTTGATGTGGGACTTCTAGATTTTAGAACTGTAAGAAATAGAATCTATTGTTTAAGCTACCCAATCTACAGTATTCTGTATGGTAGCCTATACTGAGTAAGATGGGGGAAGAAACAAGAATGAAAGAGAGATAGGCACCCAAATAGAGGCAAAGTCAGAGACCTCTTAAGCTCTATTCCTTGTAAACTAGAAACTTTTCTTCTAGGGAAAGCTCTTTTGTTATAGAAATTAACTATGCCACGAATAGATCTGAAACAACAATAACTTGAAATTATTGAAACAGACCTATATATTATGTTTTCTAATTTAGAAAACAAAACAAATTTCCTATCATTACTCTTAAAAAAATTAACAGCTTAATAAGATGTAATTCATATACCATAAAATTCACCTTTTCTTGAGACAGGTTCTTGCTATGTTGCTGAGGCTGGCCTCAAATTCCTGGCCGCAAGCAATCCCCCTACCTCAGGCTACTGAGAAGTTTGGACTACAAGGCTCACTGTACCACATCCATCTTAAAATTTACCCTTTTAAAGTATACAATTCAATGGTGGTGATTATATTCACAGAGGTATATAATCATCATGACTATATATAGTAGAACCTCATTGGTGACCACCTCCCTGTGCCAACCACCTCCTTAAATTGACCAGACATGCATCACATGTACATATTAGCATAGTAGGCCTAGTTCCTTATGTTGACCACTTTTACATGTTGATCAGTTTGTTACAGTCCCTTGGGTGGTCAACTTAAGAAGTTCTACTGTAATTCCAGAACATTTTCTTCATCCCTCCAAGAAACTTCATACCCATTAGAAGTCACTCCTGGTTTCCTCTTCTCCCAGTCCCTGGCAATCACTAACCCACTTTCTGTCTCTATAATTTTGTTTATTCATACCTTTGCTCTTGGAAAGACACGTGAAAATGGCCCATGCTGTCGTTGGGGTTGCCAAAGTTTACCCTCAGATTCCAGAGGGAAAACAAATGATTTCTGATCAACTACAGTAGGAAGTAACCTAAGTAGAAAGAAATGGAGTTTAAAATCAAACTTGCTATCTTAATAGCTTCTCAAATTATAATTTTAAAACAATGCTTCCTAGTTAAGATTGTATTTTATAAGAAATATTCTTATGGTAGTTACAATAAATTAAACCAATCTTTAGCATTTTTACCACTTTAAAACTACAGTTGTTTTATTAAGCAGAAGAACTTCTAAATCTGATAAGGGAAAATTACAGTATGAATAAAAGCTAAGTTTATATGATTAACTACTGACAGAATTATTATTTTATAAAACATTTCTTGGTAAAGAAAAATACATAATGTTGTATTTTGTCTAAAAAAGCAAATTACAGGATAGTAAATGATAAATATATTTAAAATCATGGTTGCTAAGAAGTTAATACTTAGATTTTTAAAATCTCTGCTATTTTATATGATTGTAAAGATTTCAAGATCAAATGTAATTAAAAGTTTTCCTTGTTAAATAATGGACAGTTCCATGGGAAAGCAATGTAAAAACAAACTAAAATTTTAAGAATGAGTATATGTGTGCTATGTTATGTTTTAAATTTTAAAATTAGGTTTTAGTTCTTTAAAATGGTCAATGTAATTAGGATCAACAAAACTCACCCACCAATAACTCCCTTGATTCTACTGTGATGCCCATTTTTGTAAAATTATCATTAAAAAGCAATATAAGGCTTTTAGTTTTATTCCAACATGTGAAGTGCTTGGAATTTATCACTCCCATTCTCACAATAACAAAAAGGTAAAATCAACTCATCTTATATCTATCAGAAAATTGAAATTGAAATCACAGAGCAAACTGCTGCTGAAAACTGGAGGGAGAGGAAAACTCAAGAAGTCAGAGCTTAGCTAGGTGCTCATGCCTGCCTGTGATCCAGGAAGGCTGAGGCAGGGGGACTACTGCTTGAGCTCAGGAGTTTGAGACCAGCCTGAGCAAGAGTGAGACCTCATCTCTAGAAACAGCCAGGTGTTGTAGCCAGCACCTATAGTCCAGCTATTCTGGAGGCTAAGGAAAGAGGATCTCTTAAGCACAAGAGTTTGAGGTTGCTGTGAAAGAGGGTGACAAAGTAAGACTCTGCTTCAAAAAAAAAAAAAAAAGAGTCACAAGTCACAGTTTATACACAGCAGAAGTCTACTCCTAGAGCCAGTACTGACAAGAACACTTAAACTCTAATTGACAAATTTCTTCAGACTTACTTGGTGTGGACTAGCCTGAGAGTGAAAATCTCTGGGGCAGGGCCTCTCACGCTTTTCTGAGTTTTACCTCTTTGATCCCTATTGTGCTCTCACTGTGAATATCAGAGAAAAATCTTCTCCTGCTTCTAGGAGGAGGGTAAGTAACTGTTTTGAGATATTTCCAGACAGTCCTCTTCTTTGTTCTGTTCTTTGAATAAAGGTCAACTGTCAAGGAAAACTATTTTATCAAAGCCTTATCTGACTTGGAGACAGGCAATAGACAACTCCAGCCTGTTCTAGTTTTCTTGTTGCACTAAAGTGGGAAAAGTGCTTAGTGAAATTTGTGAAGATAACAGTACAGGGGGGCATGCCCCAGCAAAAGACTGAGACATAATTATAGGAGAATAGAAAGCTTTCCTACACACACACACACACACACACACACACACACACCCCTACCACCACATCTACAAAGCCCCTAATAAGGCAGTATTAAAAATGAAAGAACTACAAGGTTCAGACTCTATTTAAGAAAGAATTCCTTGGGAAACCCAAGGGAGAGACAATAGGAGAGACAAAAATAAAGATCCTGGAGGAAAGTGAAACCTCAGACACCTACAGTTACAGCAAACACAGCAGAACTTCCAGCCAGATAAACATAAACCCTCACACCAAAGACCTACTTACCCCAGTTCCTAGTACACAATGATGTAATGATGATATCTAGCTTTCAACAAAAAATTATAAGGCACACTGAAAAGTAATAAAAAATAGTCTGAAGAGACAAAGCATGCATCAGAACCAGATTCATATATGACAGAGATTTTGGAATTATCAGATCAGGAATTTAAAGTAACCATGATTAATAGCTTAAGGGCTCTCATGAAAAAAGTGAACAACATTCAAAAACAGATGGGTAACATAAACTCCAAGCAAGAATTAAAAGGGGGTATAAGAAATAAAAAGTACCATAAGAAATGAAGAATTCCTTTATGGGCTTTGAAAAAAAAATCCATGAGCTTGAAGAAACTTCCAAAACTGAAATGAATAGAGAAAAAAAATTTTTTTAAAGGAATAGGCTCAGCGCCTGTGGCTCAAGTGGCTAAGGTGCCAGCCACATACACCTAAGGTGGTGGGTTCGAATCCCCAGCCCGGGCCCGCCAAACAACAATGATGATGGCTGCAACCAAAAAATGGCCAGGCATTGTGGCGGG